AGTAAGTAACGTAACTAAACAACTAACAAACTAACTAACTAATTAGTTTACTTACGTAGTCGACGACTACGTAACTAAACGAACAACGAACGAACAACTACTACTACTCTCTCTCTCTCTCTCTCTCTCTCTCTCTCTCTCTCTCTCTCTCTCCCAGTATGGGTTTGTATGAATGCTAGCACTTAGCTTTCCTACAGTTTGATAACAATTCCCAACTGTCCAATGTCAAATTCGTGAAAAATGACAGACTATGGGAGGAAGAACAACACCCCTAACCATGCGTTGTGGACATCAAACATCTGGGTAAGTGCTAGCCAACTGTAGCAAACTCAAAGCAGTAGCATTGAATACTTTCCACATATATTCAAGAAAGAGAGAGAGAGAGAGAGAGAGACACACACACACACATAGCAAGGTTTATGGTTGCAAAGTAAACCTGCCACAGTAGCGACAATGCTGTTGTTGTAGATGGGACCCTGCACAACATTGCTGCAGACAGAGCCCTCCACATCAGAGAGAGAGAGAGCGAGATAGAGAGAGAGAGAGAGAGTGTGTGTATGGAAGCGTGCAAGTTGTATCATCATCTGAAAGGAATAGGTAAATTCATCTTTTCCAGAAACAAAAGAAGAGAGTAATTTTTGGAATTGATGCCACTTCTGTAACTTTTCATCAAAATCAATGCTAGTTACGTATCAAACTCAGTGTTTTTCCTGCACTTTTACCTCCATTGCAGAACAGGAAATGCATTCGATGAGGACACTAAATTTTCCTACATTACTTTGACATCATCCTCAACAAGGGATGGCTAGGGTGTGTCATTCATTCACTCAGGGTCTGTCAAGTTTCTGACAGACTTTTAGTTGAGGAACGACACAGCCTTTAATGGACTTTGAATGGAAAAGGGATACACCCCAGCCTTCTGTTGCTGATGTTGGACAGACAGGGTGATGTCAAAGTACTGCAGGAAAACTTCAGTGCATGCATTTATATAAACTCTACAAAATAGATATTTTTTTTTTTGAGAACTGTTAAAATTAACATTAACTCTACAAAATATATTGTCAATGGGGATCAGGCATTTTCTCTAAATTGAAACTTAGTGTTATTCCTGCACTTTTTTCTCCATTAGAAAACAGGAAATGTATTCGATGAGCACACTGAATTTTCCTACGGTACTTTGACATTACCCTCAACTAGATATGGTTGGGTGTGTCGTTCATCTACACAGGGTCTGTCAAGTTTTTGACAGACCTTTAGTTGAGGAACAACACAGCCTTTAATAGACTTTGAATGGAAGAATGATACACCCCAGCCTTCTGTTGTTGATGTTGGACAGCTAGGGTGATGTCAAAGTACTGTAGGAGAACTTCATTGCACGCATATATACAAACTCTACAGAATATGTTGGCAATGGGGATCAGGCATCTTCTCTTCCCTCTCAGAATGTAAACAGTTGAATTAATTATATTAGTAGACTCTGGGATATGGCGCTCCAAGGCCAAATCCATCGTCCAATCCAACTAACTGATAATTAGAGATTAAACAGAGTGGGCCTCACATGGCTTTCACGAGGACATAGTCAACCTTCACCCATCCGTAAATGGGTAGAAGTGGAGGATATAGACTTTAAGTAGCATACAACATAACAGTATTTTTTCTGTATAACTTATCCCTTACCATCTTTTAAAACCGAAGTCCTTTTAATTGGTGGTACCAGTACAGTCCCTCCCGAAAAGTATTCACTTTCCAGCACGGACTCCTCAACTCTTACAGGGTTTTGGGTAGCAGCCTCATCTCCTGCAGAACATGCAATATCAGAGACCAGGCATACAATAAAGAAAAAATTATTCCATAATCCAATGGAGTATGGCATGTGGTGTGTACCCTCTTAATGGACATCCACCTTCTGTTTCGCATGATTAATGGGGGAGATTAACTATACCAGTGTGAAATGTCCAGGTGGGGCTCACTACAGTAAATCTCACTACCTAAAAATTAGAACTGAGGTGGATGCCACTTTGGAGCCACATCCACCATGCTCCATTGGATTACAGCATACACCGTCAGTTATAAACTACAAAATACATTCTTTTTCTATAAAATTGACTCACTATAAAGTACCTCATACCAATGCTATCACAAACCTTTCAGTCGGCTCAAGTTTTATTTTTGCAAGTCCAATTAGACTAAAATCATATGAACCAGAAAATTTCAGCCCCGCCTAGTCCAAATTAGCTGTTTCAAACCAATTTAGCATCAAACAAATAGTTTAAATAAAAGTTAACAGGATTTAGTAATGTTAAACTCAATGAGTTGAATCAGGACTAGCTCACAGCTCGGGCAGGCATGCCCCAATTCCAAGACCTTTTCTTTAAGTAAAGCATGTGGTCCTAAAACCGAAAGAAAGTTTCTATTAGGCTATTTCTTTCTTATTTCATAGGCCGATGGTGCTTTTTTTAGCTTATTTTCACCTATTTCCTATAACAGCACCTTTGGAGGCCTGAATCAATCACAAAGTCAGTATATTTTGAGATTTTTAGGTCAGGGCTCCTTTCTAAAAAAGAATGGTGAATCCCCAAATCCTTAAATCTGATCATCTCCAAAATTTGGGATGAGGATTTGCAGAGTGCTTCAGGCCTTACTGAAGAAAAAGAAAAAGATTTTCAAGATCGTACATCTTTTACGATTCCCAAATACCAGGTATATATTCTTTTTTGAGTTTTACAACTGGAATATTTTTTCCACAGAATAAGTTTAAGATCTCAATTTGTAGGTCCTCTACTTTTTTGTGCCTCTTTAGCCATTTCTTACAAAAAATATTAAAACAAATTTTAAAAACTATAAAAACTAAGTGAAATATCAAATATTCTCGAACTTTTCAAAGAAAATCTGTTTTCCTTCAAAGGTGTTCTAATCTCATAGTTCTAGAGTTTCTGTTAAAACCTAAAGGCACTTAATTATTTCTTCACTATTTTCTTCAATTTTTAAGATTCCTTCTATATTTTCTAAATTTGCAAAATTTCTTTATATTTGCTGGGAATTTTTCAGGCCCTTTATAGACCCATGGAGCTAGAGCAGGCAATTGGCCGTGCGGCCCAACCCGGACCAGATGGCCCAGCCCTAAAGAAACTAAGGCCTGGGCAACAAAATGTGGCCAGAGGGCCAAGCCGGGCCTAGGCCACGACAGGGCCAGCTTGGTCCGGCCCTGGCTAGGCCATTTCTTACTTGAGAATTTTCATTTTCTTCTTTAAGTTTATTAGGCCCGGCACCTGGCTCTAACACAGCCAGGGCCAGGCTTAGGTCAAAGCCTTTTTGATGTGATCCAGGCAAGCTAGGCTCAAGCCGGCCATATAGAGACCGGGGCTGGCCAGGCCCAGACTCGGCTCTTTGCCAGCCCTACAAAGAGCCACTTCAGGACTCAACAAGTAGACTTCCCCTAGGGACCCAGCAAGTCTCATAGAGAATCCATATTTTAAAACAATGGTTTTTAGCAATGAAGAGCATAAATAATCCAATGGATTAGTAAGAGACATAATCCACAGAAGTTATCAGAGTCCACCTTTCTATCGACCACTTTGCAATGAAAATAACAGAAAAAGATGGAGAGAATGGGACCCACCTTTAGGTTCATGTCCTTTTCTGGTAGGTCCCTCTCTCACTATCGCTTCCATGAATTTATTAGATGGTGATGACCACAAGGGAATATATCTTCTATAGTCCATTGGATTATAGTATAATTTCCCTATTATAAAACATCAAAACACATCTTAGTGAGTCTATTAATGGTTCACTCTAAGCAGAATGTACTAATAACCAACAATCATCCCCATCAGATCCAAAAAAGGTGAGCATTAAAAACAAAAAACCCAAAAAAGGTGTTTCAAGTTGCTCTAGTTCAAAAAAGCCAACGTTTGATCAAACAATTTGGAGCTTTAGCTTGGAAAAATATATCATAACAAACATGCTATGTTTGATTCATCACTGTCCAATAAAACTACGGTCAGTGAAGGAAAATGGCACACAATCTTTAGAATCATGTCCTGTTTTCTAGAGGGCCGCACTCACTCATGTTCTGTTCTAGAGGACCACTCTCTCTCTCTCTCTCTCTCTCTTCCTCTCCTCNCTCTCTCTCACTCATCTCTCNCTCTCTCTCTCTCTCTCTCTCTCATCTCT